TTTCTATGAGGAGCAACTTCTTAAAAGGGAGTGCTGGTGTGTGTGTGTGTGTGTGTGTGTGTGTGTGTGTGTGTCTATATATAGATTAGATGGTTTTTAAAATACATTTTATATATATACATACACACGCACACAGCCCAGTTGCACTATTCAGAACATAATAGTTTCCCTTTTTAATACACAGCAGCTTACTTGGTCAGACAGTGTCTCTGGCAGAGGTACTGCTGGCCACCAGAATGTCGTCTTCCTTCTACCAAAAATAACTTCTGCCACACTGCAAACCATGGGAAGAATCCTCCATCTCAATCAGAAGTTACAGACTGGATGCAGGAATCACTTGGTGAAACCCCGTGGCCTGTTACGCAGGTCAGACTAGAGGACCATGATAGTCCCTCCTGGCCTTAACCTGTGAGATTGAGTCCCAACCTATTGTCATAGCATGTAATTAATTTTGAGGTGGTCTTGAAACTGAACACTATATCGAACGTTATATTTTCAGATGGACCAAGGATTCACTGATGACGGGTGCTTCTAACACTTAACTATCCAATACAATAGCGACATGGTGAATGCCTTTGCATTTTAAAAAAATCAGGGCTTTGTTCTTACTGTGCTGACGTAGGGTTTCTTGGGTTTCCATGCAGTACTCAAAGCAGTGACTGATTGCCAGTTGCATCTGTCTGTCATTTCTGTTTAAACTTCATGCAGCAGAGCAGATCTACACTAGATCTTTTATTAAATTGCTTCATAAAATGCCTTCTCTAAACAGAGGGTTTTGCCAGTTTAGTTATATTAACAAAACCATCTAGTTTGGACACTTATTAGTATAAAAATGCTTATACCAGAATAGCTTATGCAGGTTCCCGTGACCATCATAAACTGTACTGGTATAGCTGTGTCCGCACTAGAGGGTTCTATTGGCATACCTATGTTGATTAGGAGTGTTGTTTTTTTCCCCACACCCTAAGACATTACTATGGGTACATCTACACTACAGGGGGGAGTCGATTTAAGATATGCAAATTCAGCTACGTGAATAGCGTAGCTGAATTCGACGTATCGCAGCCGACTTACCCCGCTGTGAGGACGGCGGCAAAATCTACTTCTGCGGCTTTCTGTCAGCGGCGCTTACTCCCACCTCCGCTGGTGGAGTTAGAGCGCCGATTCAGGGATCGATTGTCGCGTTCCGACGGGACACGATAAATCGATCCCCGAGAGGTCGATTTCTACCCGCTGATTCAGGCGGGTAGTGTAGACCTAGCCTATGCCATTAACACTTAAGTATAGGCCAGGACTTAATGTTTTTTGCTTAACTACTCCTTTAAAGTCATGTGCTCTTATTTCCTACATTTATTTGCCAAAACTGTACAAGTTTTCAGTGGCAACAGTGGAAATTTAAGTTAAATATTGAGAACAAGGAGAACTGACTAGAAAAGCTATTCAGGCAATGGAGGAATTTGTCTCAGGGAGGCTCTGGAAATCTAGCTAGGCTTGAAGTGAAGCTCATCTACCAGTGCTAATTAAGGAATCTGTAAGGCCTTAAATACACTAGAGATTACATTAAACTAAGTTAACTTTAAAAATCAATCTAGGTAAGTTGATGCAAACTCCTGGTTAAAAACACATTTAAACCAGTGTTAACCTTGCTTATATAGCTTGGATATTTTTACACTGCTCTAGTTAAACTGGTGCAGTTTGGTAGCATAGGCGACGCCTGCATCCATTCTGTCATAGGGAAACAGGATTGACTACGTGACTTATCATATTGACTCAACTCCAATGGCCGGCACATTAAGTTGTAGCGGATGTCCTTTCCAGCCCATTCTACGGATGGATTTTTCTCACACTTCCATGAAGAGCTCAGGACTGTTCATTTGAGAATATTCTGTGGGAGCTGAGGCTGTTGCATAACTTTATACACTGCCTGTCTAGAATTGTGACTTAACACTGGTCTAGGTTAACCTACAGAAGCTGTCCAGAATTGTATTGTGAAGGGAACTCTTCTGTTTTGCAGGGATAGCCGGGAGCATGGCCACATTGCTCCATGATGCAGTAATGAATCCGGCTGAAGGTAATGTCCTTTACTGTATGTGGAAATGGAGTTGAATTGGGGGAAGAAAGTAAGTTGCTTGGAAACGCACCAGTTGAGTAGTGTGTAACAACTACTCTTTTTTTTCACTGGCTGTGGGCTAAGGGCCAGGGTAAGCTTGTGCAAAGAAACTGATCACTTCAGTTGAAATTGATGGAACTTCTCAGTTGTGTGGATTCTTTTTCTCCTAACAGATACTGAGGAATAAAATAGATCCTCCATTTGACTGTTGACATTTTTATCCGCTTCTCTAAGCCAACTATTGAAGAGCAAAACATTCTGAATGCCCTTTTGGCTCTTGTTGTTGTTGTGTTTTTGTTGTTGTTGTTGTTTTTTAAGCCTTCCTAAATCTATAGCCTCTTATTTATTTAAAAAACCAACTGTGTAGCCAGAGATCAGAAAAATAAAAACCAATGTGTCCTGCAAATATGTCATCCAGGCTTAGGTGGAAATTCTGCCCTTGAGCAGCATTCATTGGGTTAGCTGGGTTGGTACCATTCTGAAGGCAGAATATCATCTTGGGGAAATTCTAAGAAAGTTGTTGGTAATTATTCATTCTCTAAGCATGGTACTTGATATTTAAAGCCCTCATGCTATGGTGCTGAGCGCGCGCACACACACACACACACGTAGAACGCCTGTTAGTTTCTGCATGGTGTTCCTCACTGTGCATCCTTTTTAAACTGATGGGAAGACTTCTGGGGTGAAATTGGAGTCAGTGGGGCAATGATGTCATTCCAGAGTCTTCTGAGTGTCTCACCTGCACAATAGATCACTTGCAGAGTAACTACTGGCCGGAGCCCATAACTTGCAGTGTTGCATGCAAAATGCACTCTTGGATTTGCACAAACAGACATTATCCACCTAAAGTATCCCAGCACTCCTTATTTCACTCTATGTGGCTTAACATTCACTGCTGCATGTTTATCAGCGTACTGCTGCTGAAGTGTATGTTCTTGATATGCTGTGGCCTTCATGTGTTAGATATCTAAGTGCTTTGTGGAAAATGATGGGAGGGTTCTTAATGTACACTTTAAGGAAAAGTTTTCCTTAAGGGAAAAATATTTATAGTATCAGATTTCACTATATTTCTTGTAACTGTCTGGAGAAGTGTTTTTGCAAAAACTCACAAACTTTCTTTTTTTCTTTCCCACAAAATAGAAATGTTTGGAAATTTCTAGTTTTCAATCTGCTTTGTTGTCGGTTAAAAACATTCTTTGAAGAGGCAACATCATAGTGGCTAATTGGAGCATGGGACCACAAGCCAAGCACTTGTGAGTTGCGCTCCTAGCTCTGCCACTGAGTCTCTACAGCCTTGGACCAAGTCACTTAACACAGTTGTGCTTCCATGGCTGTTATAGGGGTGGTGCTGTGGTGAGTTTTGCAACTGACTTTTAAAGAAGCAGAATCAGCCTCTTAATTTATCTCCGTCATCTCTAAAATTATCTTTGCCTTACTGAGGAATTGAGAGTTCTATCCAGTGTGGAAAAGCTCTCTGAAAGGGTGAAGTGTGTAGCTATATTTTTGTTTAAAGACTTGACTAGGATGATTATCACTTAGAAGCATCTGTTGTATCTTCTTGTATCTGCAGCATTATCCACGTAGGGTGCTCCCCTTTGGTATAGGGAAGGTTTGCAGTGTATGTGAATTGGGAGCATAGCTCAAGGTTGGGATGATAATTACAAAAGAACTTGTGTCTAATTTGTTTATCTTTTATCCCATTGGCTGCCTATTCATCCCATCTGGTGCCACGTGACCTCCTGTGGCTGCTACTGAATCAGTGGTGAAGCAGCGGATGCAGATGTACAACTCCCCCTACAAAACAGTCTTGGAGTGCATACGAACAGTGCATAGGACTGAAGGACTGGGTGCCTTCTACCGGAGTTATACCACACAACTCACCATGAACATCCCCTTCCAAGCCATTCACTTCATCACGTATGAGTTCATGCAGGAGCAAATCAACCCGCGCCGGGAATACAACCCCCGCTCGCACATCCTCTCTGGTGCCATCGCGGGAGCCGTGGCTGCCGCAGCCACCACACCCCTTGACGTCTGCAAGACGTTGCTCAACACTCAGGAAAACATGGCCTTGAGTTCGGTGAACATCAGTGGGCACCTCTCAGGAATGGCCAATGCTTTCAGGACAGTTTATCAGCTGGGCGGTATCCCCGGGTATTTCCGAGGGGTGCAGGCTCGTGTCATTTACCAGATGCCTTCAACTGCCATCGCGTGGTCAGTGTATGAATTCTTTAAGTACTTCCTCACGAAGCACAAGCTGGAAAAAAGAGCTCCTTATTGAAAGACGTGAGCAGAGCGAGCCTAAGGTTCAGATGACATTTGTATAAACTCTGAGGGATTCGCTCGTGTTGTGAAACATGCAAGATTTCTTGTGGATTCACAATTGAATTTCACTTTTCTGTCGTTGGGGGCGAGGGGAATTAAGTGGTCATTGGAGAAATTTGGCACCCTGTTTGCTAGAATCTGAAGACTTTTTTAAATATATTTATAGCTTTGGAGAAGTGAAATTACTAACTGATATTTTTTTCCCTCTGGATAAGCTCTAAGATGTAGTGTTACCACTTCACCAGAAAACTTAGACTGCATGGGGGGTGGGGGAGGGGAAATGGTATTGAGATATTCTACAGCAAAGAAATTTAAATATCCTGTCACTGAACAAACTTTTATATATGACATAATATAAAATAGATGGATAATGTTTATCCTTTATTTTTCTATGTAGGAATTTTGTTTTAATACTATTACAGCTGGAAGTTGAGCTGTTTTTAAAAAAAAAAAAAAAAGGCTGAATTCTTCCATCATGACATGTAAGAACCAAAGCATTTTTTTTTTTTAATAGCCAGAATGGCTTTAATCTTAGCATTTAACCCAAAACAGTGGCCAGGATTTTCATTTGTACGTAGGTAAGCTGCCTCCAGTTTTATGGCATCCACTTGACACCTTAAAAGGGCCCGACTTTTAGAAAGTGCTGAGCATATGCTCTCTGAAAATGGTCTGTTTAAGGGGTCTCAAGTTGGGCAGTGAAAATCACTGGTTGCTCTTGAAAAATCTTAGTTTAATTGTTATTCCCATAGCTGACTTATGATTGTACTTGAAAGATGAGCATTTTTGGCAAACCTATTTTAAAGGTACATTTTGTGGCGTTTTAATAGAGAATAGGTTTCATTACTCTTATTTATTCATAATCTTATTTTCCACTAACGCCTCGCTCCTGCTTACACATGAGTAACTGTGCAGGACTTGTGCTCGCTTACATGCAAAACGTTACTCTTGTGCATAAAAGTGTGCAGGAGCAGAGTATCAGTTTACAGTTCTGTAAGACAACTCCTCTTGAATTGTAAGAGTTGCATACTGACCACAAGGAAACTGTCAATCACAGTGCAAAATAAGCCCTTGGAAAGTGAAACCTTAAACAGGAGAACACCAGAATCAAAACCTTTTTGTAAAGCAAAGCCAACAAACAGCAGCTGTTCGTTGTCTGATTGGTATGTATAAATGAAGTGTCCTAAAACCTTAAGTTGAGTGGATTTTAGTCCTTTGGGGACTTTGTTTGCTGCTATGAAATCCTATGCTTTATTTCGTGCTTCTGTAGAAAAGAACTCCGTGCATTAAAAAAAGCACATCTGACCTTCAGTTTTTTTGCAAGCTAGGTTTGTGGATGGCCCCGCTTAGCCTCTATACCTCATCTTCTTACAATGTGATGTTGAATCCAATGTTTACCAAGTATAGATCCTGCGCTTGAGGCTAAGAAAACCATTGACTGCTCTCCCCAAATTAAACCGACCACTGTTGCAAATATAGGGTCTGAATTTTAAATGTCTAATATTTGGTCCTAGTTATCTAATTTAGGTGCAGTAATATTGTAGAAGATGAACAGTTTTTGCTGGTCTAAAGAGCAAAAGCTGAACTTGTTGCTGGACTACAGATGCAGAATTTATTAACTAATAGCCAGTTGGCTACCTAGTTGGGACTAGGTAACATTACAATCAACAAAAAACCTAGCAGGATTTTTCTGGTTTTAGAAATGTAACTGAATAGTAACAACCCCTCCCCCCCCCGCCCCCTTTGAAGGGACATCAGTGTGAAAAGGTTGATTGTACCTGTAAACTGACCACCTACTAGTGAAACAACAAACATTTAAACATTCCTAAAACTGATACTGCAGCAGACGGTATTTCTGTATTGGCTTGTTTTTTCCATTTGACAACTTTGTACAAGATCGTTTTTGCTGTTTCTCCTGTTATTTTTTTTTTTTTTTTGGTATGGGTTTTTCACATAGCAATGTAGAAGAACCCTTTTTAAAGGAAAATTATGATCCAAAAGCTGGCTGAGGGCCTGGGAGAACATATAGGACCTGAAGCTACTTTTTCAAGTTGACTAGATTTGAAGTTGGCATTCCTCTAACCCCAAATTAAGCCTTGATTGTGCACCTTGTACCAATGACTTACATTTTTCTGCTCACCTGAATGAGGTGAAAAAGCTTTACCATGTCTAACATTTGCATTTAATTTTTTAACATGGAGTTTTTCATTTAAAGTACAGCTTAGTCTGTATCTATCTAATAATGAAAAATCATCATCAAATTGGGGGATTTCACTAAGGCCTGAGTGAGACCAACTGGCAGTCGGGTCCTTCGCTGTATGGTGGCTTTCATGTGATCTTACTCTGGCATTACACTAAGTTTGGCAAATATTGGTTGACCAATATTTATTTGGGGAAGGTAAATTACTACAGGAAATACTTCTCTGGTGAATGTACATGCAACCTGTATAAATTTTTCTTTACAAATAATAAGGAATTATGAAACATTCTTTTCATGTCTATTGCTATCCCTTATATTCAATTAACCTTTCCTTTTTTTTTTGACAAGCTTAGTTTTTATTTAGCTTTTCAAAGTGCAGATTTGTAACCTCAGCCTATTGTAAGCATCGTATTGACACTAGAAAGCATTCATGCTTATCTTTGTACCATGAGCTTGGTGTGAAAGCAGATGCAAGCTTGGCAGGGTTTTTAGCCTAAAGTTTTCAAAGGATTTGGAAGCCTGTTTAGATGACTTTGAAAAAATCTCATCCCTAACTTTTAATGAAAAGTGAATGGAGCTGGGGACATGCTCAGTGTATGGAAGAATCTTGTTAAGAATATGCTGAATACAAATCAAGTATTATGGGTTGGACACAAATCAGCCAAAATACAGGTGAGGTAAACTTTCTGAAAGGTAGGCCTCAGTCTTCTGTGAAGGCTTTTAAGCTTGGTTAGATCAGACTTCAATGAGAAGACTTTTTGTCTGCATTAATTTTTGATAGGTGACCGTTTAATGGGCAAGCAACATTCAAGAAGTATTCCTCAGTTCTTAGCACTTGAAAGTAATTGGTGAATGTGTGTGGTATTTAGAAACTAGTAAACGTTTAGATTGCAGTATTTCAATGATGGTATAATAACAAGTAAACTTTATAGTCCAAGGACCTTCCTCTCCATATCATCCAGCTGCAAAAAAAAATAATCCCTGTAGTGAGGTGAATGTTGATGGTGCTTGGGTATCCAGATTCAAATGGAGGTGGATACTTCACTTGTTCAGGCCCCTTTAAAAATTCCAAGTATCACCACCTTGTTCAACAGAAAAAGGGTGGATTTGCACCTATTCAGTCATTTGGTAAAACTTTCACTACTGTTACTGCAGAGAGAGCATACAGTGATGTGAGAGTGAGCTGGGATTTGCTCCTGGCTCATGTATTGCAACCTCTTGTGCTGATGAAGCAAGCCAGAGCCCAGCTTCACATTCACAGTCCTGGCGGAGGTTGTAGAGCTGGTAGCTAGAAAGAAAACCCTCTAATATTGCAGTGCAAAATTCCTCTGGAAAATCATGTAGAGCTCCTGCTGTCTCAAATGCCTTGTTTAGACCCTTCTTGGAGCATAACTTTTTTTATAATTCATTGTGACTCGGGTTTGATGCTAATTGAACGAAGTTTTTTGCCTTAGAATAAGACCAGCTAGAATAGCCTGTTTCCAGCATGAACTTTCTTTAGCGTGTAGAAGTCAACCTCTTAACCTCTGTAGCAACCTGCATGAATTCTTGCAAACGTTTCCTTTTTATTGACTTCTCAGCTTTACCACTTTTGATGACTTCACCCTGGCCAACCTGCAGATAGAGCCTGATCCTATGTCCTTGGAGGCCACTGGAAAGCTTCTATTGTCCTCAGGGATGCAAGATCAGATACGAAGGGCCAGATTTGCAAAGGGCTCAGTGCCTAAAGTTGGTCCCAACTCTTTCAGAAGAGTTGAGTTTCTGTTTTGGTACCAATAGAAGAAGCAAGGTTTTCTGTTTTTCTTTTCTTTTTCTTTTCTTCTCTTCTAGCTTGCACAGCAAGTGCTGATCTCTGCTGAAAATCAAGCTGTTCTAGTGGGATCTCCCATTTGCTGAGTGCTTACAAGAATCTGGCCACTTACTTAGAAACTTACATAGGACTTAAGTTATTTGGAAAATGTGGGTAGTGAGCATTTGAAAACCTAGCCCCTTAACCCTGGGCAATATTCTGCATTATGTAATCAAACCTGGACCAATAACTTTAACTTGGAATGGAGACCTCTTGGAACCTTGTCCAGTTTGTCTTCTTGCAGGACTTCATTAAAATTTAACTCTTGTTTATCAACTCCAATATTTACCTGCTGAATCTCAAATTTAAAGGATCCCCACCAAAGCCATGTTAGGCTGCATCTCATGTAGGTTGCAATAAACGCACATTCAACATGGAAGCCAGTAACATTCTGTTGACATTTTAAAACACACTTTGTATGTGAAACAGATGTATTGCTGCTTTGTGGCTGCAACAAACGCACATGTTTTTTAAGGGAAAGGATGAGTGTTAAGATTTTTTTTAAGTTGATGTTTTAAAATTGCAGTTCTTGCTTTTTTAATTTGACATTGTACATTTTTTGAAGAGAACACATACATATTTAATGCAGAAAGTTTGGCTTCTGAAATGCTGCTACAGTTATAACACTGGAGCTCGAGGAAATAAAGTGTTTGATCTTTGTCCTTCAGACTCGTGCTTGATTTGTTTTAATTTAACTTTTATATGGTGGTCGCCCCTGGAAGCCTCAACACCCTGTTGTGCTAGGTATTAGGCAAACACTGTAAATGGCAGTTCTTTCTCTGAGCATGGAAAGATGCTCCAGTGGCTAGGGGTGCTGGCCTATCATTTGGGAGAACTGGGTTCATTTCCCTTCTCTGCCACAGACTTCCTTTGTGACCCTTGGGTAAGTCATTTAGCTTCTCTGTGCCTCTATTCCATATTTGTAAAATAGTCACAGTGGCCCTTTACTACCTCACCCGAGTGAGGATAAATATATCCAAGATTATAAGGATATCAGATACTAAGGTCATGGAAGTCAGAAAAATACCATAGACAGGGCCTGCAGTCTAAAACATGACATCACACCCACATGGGCTGGAGCAGAGAAGTAATTGACATAGGATGACTTGGCGCAGATCAGCTGGTGGGTAAAAATTGTCCCTATTAGTAGCAATCTTGCAGTTCTTATGGAAGAAGACATTTGTGGAACGTGTTATAATAACCCTTAGGTAGCCAATGCCTTAAGGATTTACTGGGCCCCAGGGGCTCTTTGGGAAGAGGGGTGGATGGAGTGGAGTTGGCTACTGAAAGACAAGGACAGCCGAGAACGCTTGAGCCAGTCCCAACATGCACTACCTGTATGGATCACTGATCTACAAGTGCCCCCATAACTTGTCCTGGTCGGGAACCAGCGGAAACACGGTAGTGACAGACTGTGGGTCATAGTGAAATGAAGACACCTCAGCCTGGCATGTCAACAGAGCAGGAAGTTGAGATGGGCAAGTAGCATTAGGGTTCTTTGTTCCTTGGAGGGATGGTGCCTTCTAGCACTTGTTGGGATGGGATACCTAGAGAAGAGAGTTGGAAGGGTCTCAGTGGAAGGCGGTGCAGGGCTGGGAGGGAAAGATTGGGATTTCACCTGGCTGTCATCTCTTCCCCATTAAACCTCAAGGTAAAAATACTTTGTCATGGTATTTAAAAGTTGAGTTACAATCCGTTGTAGACCTCTACTGCAAATCCAGGACTACCATTTCAGTGGTTACAATTCCTGATCCAGGAGGCATTTGTTGAAGCATTCCTGCTAGAAATGGGTTAGCGTGGGAGATTCACAAGTCCAAAAGGTCCGGAATTTTTGGCTGGCTTGTTCCTGTAGCAAAACTTGTTTTTTCTTCCCAACATGGAATTTAAAATCCTTCGCTAGCTAAAAGGAAGCCTGTTATAGACAGAGCTTCCCAGAGAACACACATTCTATTTTATGGAAGATTCTTCTGATTAGGAATGAAAACTCCAAAACTTGGTTGAGTTAAACAATCTGGAATATGAGTCAAAATTAGCAATTAACAATTGTAGAAATAAAGTTTTTTGCTTTCTACTTTCAAAATGACATTTCATTCTGAAAATGTTGAAATGGAATGTTGGAACTTCCCCCTTTTTCTCCAAAATAAAACTGACAAAACTGCTAGTTTGATTGGGCAACATTGTACAGCCAGCTTGCCTTGGAAGAAATTACTTCACAAGATGCAGGACAACAATGAATCAGGTGCACAGATTATCTTTTGCCAGGAAAATTGCTACCCAGGTCTACCTTCTTGTTCATGCACCATTCCTTCATGGGATTTCCTCTACTGCCCCTTCTCAAAGTAACACTAGTAATACTTGGAGTTAAACTCCTAAACCAGGTTGATTTTAGCCAACTTGAAATTATGTGGAACAGGGTTCTGTCCCTAATTTGTACATCCAGAATTAGCAAATCCTTTTGTCCTGGTATTTATAGTAAATTTCAAACTATACAATGCCAGTAGAAATTATTCCTGTTTGATCTTTATTTTGGAAGTAAAATCGGTATTGTGAGCTGCCGCTGCCCAAGAATGATGAGTCTAGAGTCCCAAAAGCAAGGGGGCTTCTTAAAAAACACACATCTTGGGGGTTTTGCCTTCTGGTTTCTGAGCAAGCTTTTCTTTGCCACTCTGAGGGCTAGAAACTTCCTTTTGAAATGAAAGCTGGGATTTTCTTATAGTTGCATCTGTTCAAGAGGTGAATCTTTTAGGGGAAAAAAACACCAATTTTTACTAGGCTCCCACACCCTAAAATTAAGGTTATTAAATCTACAGTGTAACTTGCTGTTCCGCTAGATAAGAGAGAGGAGTTTTTAAGCTCCTATTGCTTGCCACAAGGTGGCATCTTGCTGTCATTCTTGGTTTCAAGTTGCTTATGTGTCTAAAGAGAGCAGCTCAGTCTCAAACTTTTAGAGATGTAAGGTGGGTGAGGTAATATCTTTTTATTGGACCAACTTCTGTTGGTGAAAGACAATCTTTTGAGCTACCCAGAGCTAACGTGTTTAGAGCTAGTATGCTACACTGTTCTGTGGGTGCCCTTCAACTTCCTCAGAGCTCGGAGATGAAAATCTTCTTTGGTCCTGCAGATTTTTGCATCTAAACTGGAATCACAGCTGAGCACATTTTTGCATGTGCAGGGAAACCTTCAGATTTCTGGCTGGCAGTGAGTCTGGGACAGAGCTAGGAATTGATCCCTGATATTAAGTCCTTGGCCCTCTCTACAACCATCCTTCCTCTTTAGGCCAAGGCTGTCTGGGCAGGTAGGCAAACCTGGCTTTCTTTGCCCTCCTCCGCAAATAAGCTTTGAAATCATTCTCGTTCATAGAGATCTTTCAAGCGACGTGTGCACAGTGTATCCTGGCTGACTCTTGTCATGGTACCACAGGCAATGATTTTTGGCTTATACCTTGCTTCCAGGACTGTTGGAAGGCAGAATGACTTTAAGAACCCAAGGACTGCACTAATCCTTAGAAATGCACTGACTGCAGAGTGACGTTACTATTATGAAATAGAAATTACAAATAAACTGGGCTACAAAATCCCTTTGGACACAAATGCAGCTTTGTCTTTGGCCCTGAAGCTATTTCAGAATCCATTGGAAATGCATGCAAGATGGCTGCTTCACAGGCAGAACTCCTATTGACATAGACTTGTGTATATAAAGATCAAGGATAATCTGTAACTCTAAGAATGTATGACTAGGGTTTAGCGTTCTGACTGATTGTATCATTTCATCAGATTGTGCAAAACTAACTAGGCTGGTAGCAGAACATAGGAATGGCCATGCTGGATCAAACATAGCTCAGTGGTTTGAGCATTGGCCTCCTAAACCCAGGGTTGTGAGTTCAATCCTTGAGGGAGCCACTTAAGGATCTGGGGCAAAATCAGTACTTGGTCCTGCTAGTGAAGGCAGGGGGCTGCACTCGATGACCTTTCAGGGTCCCTTCCAGTTCTAGGAGATAGGTATATCTCTATATATTATATTATAAACCACAGTCCAGCATCCTATCTCTGACAAGTGACCAATGAGTTGTACAAATTGGGCACTGTGTGAACAAGTGCTCCATTTCAGTGGTTTTGAATTTGCCCCTCATTCCATTTTAATGGAGTGAGTCAGTACTTGGATGCGAGACTTCCAAGGCACACAGCAAAGAGGGTGTTGGTAGATCAGTAAGGGGATGCTGTATCCTCTGATTCAGTGTTGAAATGATGACCACTTATGGTGCCAGTCTGGTCTGCTGGAGGAACTGTGTTCAAATGAGACCTAAACCCAAGGTCTTGGCACTACAGGCAAGAAAGGAGCCCATGTCAGGTTTTGCAAAAGTAACCCTCATGGCCTGTCCAAATTGTGTCTCAGGTTCTGATGACCTACATTCTTCCTGCATTGTCAGTGGCACCTGTTCTCCTGTCCATCTTCTCTAGCAAAGTCCAGTTTGGCAGGGTTGCATAGTCCAAATGTAGGAAGACAAATAAGTTAACTAGATTTACCTTGAGATACATTTTAAACACACCCATCCTTCTTCCCAGTGGGGACTGTGCATTCTTTAGTGTAAGTCCAAACTCTAGCCTGCAGAGCTACAGCTTAGCTTCTCTGAGGGATTCACCTGGGAACCATCTCATATAATTCTGACAAGGAGATCAAGGGTAATTTGTTTCCTTTCAGTTTTGTCTAGAATATGGCAGGTTTGAAATGGATGCTAATCCTGATGGTATGCATATTCCAGCGATACAAGGTGTGAATTTCACGGTGCACTGGGCTGCAATTACGAGATATACCCAAGACCTAAAGATTAATTTTTTATTGTCACATGTTTTATTGTCACAGAGTTCTTTGAAAGACACTAATTCTCTCCTACCCACCAAATGTGTCAAGTTTGTAATGCTAAAAAAAAAAAAAAAAAAACCCTAAAGTCAATGTCTGACTTCAGTTTTGATGTACATGGTTGAAAATACATAGGGTATACTATGTGAAGATTTCTGCTATCTTTTGGCCTGTCATGAAGTCTTGTATGCTTTTAGCTATTGATTTTATATTGAAGGCACTCAGATAGTTTGGCAATGAGCTGCAGTATAAACCACTAAGAAAGACAGATCAATCGTCAGCAAGCATCAGCAATCTCACCAGCTTGTGCACAGGGAAGCGAGTGTCCAGAACCCTGGCAAATGTAGACTCATAGAACACATCTACACTGGGGCAGGGAGGTGCGATTCCCAGCCAGGCTAGACTGGCTTGGGCTAGTTCAGTTTGAGCTAGTGTGCTTCAAAACGGCAGCATGAATGTTGCGGCACAGAGACTAGCCTGAGCTGTCACCAGTGCCTCGACGGACATGCTACTGTTTTGAGTGTGCTCACTCAAGCTGAGCTAGCCGAGTCTGTCTACACAGGCTGGAAATCGCACTGCTCAGCTGCAGTGTAGATGTATCCATAGAAATTAATGATGGAAAAGCTTTCTAGACCTCTTTCCCTAAGGGTCACTGCAGCATTGTGCCCTACACCAGCGGTTCTCAACTGAGGGTCTGGGGCCCCTTGGGGTCCCCGAGCCCTTTCAGGGGGGTTATAGAACCCTGCCGCTGAAACCCAGTGCCCCGAGTCCCAGCGCAACCCCCACCCCAATGGGGCTGAAGCCAGGAGT